AAAAAAAAAAAAAAAAAAAAAAGAGTAGTAGCATTTGACACAGAGTCCAGGAAGGTCTATTTTAAGGCATTGCCTGTGCTGCACAGGTTGCCAGGGTGGGGTTGTGGAAGGGAGGGGTGCCATGATATACTTGGGACTGCCCTGCAGTGAGTTGGGGCACCTGTGTGCTCCACTTACAGGTGGTGAGTGGCTGCCTACAGGGCACAGTGAGTGTGTGGGACATCACCACGGGTAAGAAGAGGATGGAGTTCCTTGTGTCTACTGCCCAGCACAGTGAGCTGACTGCCATGGCCCTGGATGAGTCGGAGCGGTGTCTGCTCACGGGCTTGCGTGATGGCATAATGCAGATGTGGAATTACAACACTGGGGAGTGCCTATTGACCTTCCCCAGCGACGACGAAGTGGAGGTCAGTGCGGCCCGTCAGGTGGAGCCAGCAGGTTCCGGGGAGCTCTAGGATGTAGTTTTCTGTGTGTCTAAGAGGCTGTACAGCATGGTGATACTGCATGCCTTCAAACTTGCCTGAGCCCTTGGGCCCTCCTGCATGAAAAAAAGTTAGGCAGTGTCTCTAGGGAGGGTTCCAGAGATGCCAGCTGCATTTAAAATGTGCAAGGACATATCGTTCTTCCACACCTTCGAGCTTTGGGGTATGTTTTTAGCGGTGGGTGGGTGTTTGATGCGGAGGCTCCTGTGCTCATTCCTATCTGAAAGTGCATGTGAGGATACAGTAAAGAAACGGCTGACATGATGGGTCCAGGATATGGTTAAGGCTTTTATTATAAATGTGTGAGAGAGAACAGCCAGGAGCACCGAGTCCGGAGCAGAGAGAGAAAGAAGTGGACTGAACACGGCCTGCAGACTGGACATGGTCAGGGCTAGGGAAGCAGGAGAGAACAGCAGAGATAACGAGGTAGCAAGAGATAGAGCACAGAGCATAGCTGGAGAGTAAGAGAAAGAGGATGTCGTGAGAACAGTGGAGGCAGGGGAAAGTTGCTGGTACATAGACAGCGAATGGGGTTCTGGGAGGAGGGAAGCCTGGAGCAGCAAGGAGGGCTAGGATGTGAGCAGAGCATGGACTTTGAAATGTATAACAAGTACTTGAGATACTGGGGGAGCCTGGAGGCAGCATCTGATATGTTGACAGATGCTACAGGTACTCATATTGCTCTTCTGCCAGAGGTAAGGGAAATGTCTCTTTTTGGAAGATGGGAAATGGTTTTGCAAGTTCCTGAGGACTTTTGGCTTTTGTCTAACCACCAGAAATCCTCCTGTAGCCCAGGTTAGCTCATTTCTGAACATTTAGACAGCCCGAGACAGAAAGTACTTGCTGGGGCTCTAGAAACAGCCCACGGATATAGCATAGATTGGAGTCAACTGTAAGTGCCGCTTTGGAACTTGACCCCCCCCCCCTTCCTTTAACCTGGGCGGAAGGAGCCAGATGTGAGGGTGTCGGAGAGAGCTCAGTTGTGGAAGAGTTTGATCCCCCATATCCACATAGGAAACTGGGGGTGGTGGCATGGGCTTCTAATCCCAATACTGGGCAGGAGGAGATAGGCGGATCCCCGAAGTTTGCTGTCTGTCAGACTAGTCTAATGGATGAGCTACAGTTCTCAGTTAGACAGTCCTTCCCTTCAAACAAAGTGGGTGCTAACTGAGAAACTACAGTGGAGGTTGGTCAGGCCTCCATTTACACACACACACACACACATACGCACACGCACATACACAGAACAAGGGGTTGAGTACTGGTCTAGATCTCTCAGCAGTATTTGGACCATAGCCAGGTCACATGTTGCCCAGTTATCTCTTCTGTAAAATGAACATGGGTACCCACATTATCTGCTTCTTTCAGACACATCAGGTTTGATGGTCTCTGGCTCCCTTCAGTTAGGTAATTCGCAGGCACTCTGAAAGCTTGATGTGGCATTGACTTGGAATTCTCGCCTTCACTGAGTTTTGACTTTCTGGTGGGTACATTTAGGAAAGCATCAGGGACCCAAAGGCATTCTCTCTGAGGAGTCTAGCGCTCTGTTTTCTTTATCTCCAACAGATTAGTGGAATTGTCCACATGAACAAAGCATTCTACGTGACAGGGTGGAGTAAGAGAATCACCAATTTCACGTGAGCACCAAGTGTGAGTGGGAGGCTTTCCTTATTTTGGGCTTTTCTCTTCCTGAGCTTTCCCAGCAGCTGCAGTAGCTAGCAGGGCACCCATGGTGAACAAGTCATTGCTCCCCCTGTGCATCTACGCAGCATGAAGTAAGGTGCCTTCTGCTGGTGATGGTCATGGAAAAAGTGACAGTCTCTGCCCCCATGTAGCTTCTCATTCCCTGGAGGAATCACTTCAGTCTCTTATAACAAGATGCCATTGACTGGCAGCTTACAAGACACAGGGATTTATTTCCCACAGTCCTAGAAGCTGGGTAGTCTAAGTCCAAGGCGCTAGACAGTTTGGCTTCTGGTGAAGGCCTGCTTCCTGGCTCCTAGAAAGCTTTCCTTCCTATGAACTTACCTGACAGAAGGGTTGAGGGCTATAATCCCACCATCGAGGGCTCCACACACATGACCACACCACCTTGTAAAGGCTTGACCTCCTAATGTGCTCACACTGGTCCCTGAAATGGTTGAGCTACACAATTATCTCAGAGCTGAAGCCTTTCCCAAGAAACAGAACTAAGGCGGAGCGACAAGGCCACCAACTAGTGGTGGGAACTGAGGGTGGCACTGAGGGTTTTATTTGGTTAGCATCAACTGAAATGTCTATGCCCAAAGTCTCATCTAAATATTTAAGTCACGTATGGATGAGATCCACCAGTGTACCACTTATCCCGAGACAAATTCTCCCTTGGCTCTAAACACGTGACATGGACTTTTTATGCACTTCCGAAGTCCAGCAGTGAGATAGACACAGGACAGATGAACGAATGCAGGAGGGAAGAAATGAGCTGCAGAACCCAAATGAGTCTAAAACTCATTGGAACAAATTTCACATCTATCATTCAATCGTCTGTCTGTCTGTCTGTCTGTCTATCTAGTACAGGCGTCATGGCATATAGGCAGAAGTCAGAGGATAACTTGTGGGAGTCACTCTGTTACTTCTACCATGTGGGTTCCTTGGCAGCAGTGCCTTTATCCACTGAGTTATCTTAGGACACCAACATAATCCTCTTTCTTGCCTCCGAGGCTCCCGAGATGGAGGTGTTCTGTTTTGCAGGGGCTGAATATGTAAACCTTTAGATAACCTGCTTCCGCAGTTTTGGGACGCTATACCCTCATGGTGACCCTGGGTCCAGGCCATGTATCTGTGATGGTTTTATTCCCTGCATGGGTCTGTGCCTGTCTGGGACAGTAGTCCTGAATCCATGGCTCTGCCCACTGGAATCTAGATGATGGATGTAGCCAAGCTTTCCTATCTCTATTGGTATAGCTTGTATCATACTATTGTCTTCAGGAACTATGCCTGGCTTGGCTAAAAGACATGATACCAGAGTGTGAAATGAGAGACTATGAAGTGAGGTGTTCAATATAAGGGGTACTGAGGTCTAACTTGGACTGGTGGTCTCTTTTCTGAAACCCTTGTGCAATAGGAAGGACAGTTCAAATGCCTGAATTGCTCTTAGAGTCATTTGTCCATTGTCTTAGAGCTTAGCACACAGCTTCTGTCACGTGGCTGACCCATAGTATTCTCACAGTCCTTACCACACCCCATAGGCTCATCTTTCCTTCCAATAGATAAGGGCTGAGATGAGAAGGTTTTAGACCTTAAGTTCTGACCCCCATCCCATTTTGGTACTATGAACCGAACCATGGCCTCATAAATGCTCTGCCATTGAGCACAACCCCAGATTTTGTTCCCCTTTGCTCAACATCTCTATTTTAAAATTATTTCTCTCTTCTAGAATTTTACTATAAACAGGAGGGAACTATCTACACCTTTGAATGTCTTTCTTAGGAATTTCCCCAGCCACATAAATACCCAGTCTTACGGCTTGCAAGCTCTACTTGCTACAGCACTAGAATGTGAACACAATACAGCCAAGTTCTCTGTCACTTTGTACCCAGGATGGCTTTGCCTCCGGTTTCCAGTAGCATGTTCCTCATTTCTACTTGAGATATCATAGTGGTCATTATCATCCATTTTGTTCCCAGCAGCTTAGGATGGCTTAGGTCATCTTTAAATAGATGGGGCTGGAAGAGTGCATGCTGAGCCGGGGTTCCATCTCCAGCTCTCCCCCCGCCTTTCTCTGTCTCGCTCTCTGTTTCCCTCTCTCTCCTGAAGCCCCAACTGGCCTTGAACTCCCTATATAGATGACTTTGAGGTTCCGATCCTCTTGCCTCTCTGGCGGTGGGATTGCAGCCGTCACCACCAGGTCTGATTTATTCGGTGCTTGGGATCAAACCCAGGGCTTCACACATGCTAGGCGGGTACTCTGTCAGCTGAGCTACATCCCCAGCATGGCTTTCTTTATAGCTCTCCCCTTTTCTATGCCTTCACCTGAGCCTCCTATGCCCTCACTGGAACCATCCTTGATGACCTATATGTGGCGCTGTAGGCTTTTCCTGGAATGTGCATTAGAATTCTTCCAACCTCTATCCATCTGTCACCTCCAAAGTCACCTGCATAGTTTTGTTACCTGTCATGGCAGCGCCTCACTCTCTGTAGTTTCTACCTTAGCCATGTAGGCTGCCCCAGTGTAACGCCACGGAGCGGGTGACTTATAAACAGTGGAGGTTTATTTCTTGCACTTAAAAAAGCTAAAAGGCCCTCGGCAAAAGCATTGTGGAATCTTGCGGGTCCCTTTCCCTTTTTTTATAAAGGGTCGTCTTGCTGTGGTCTCTGTGGATGGGAAGGGTGGAGAATCTCTTTGGTCTCTTTATCATACCATCAACAAAGCTTCTGCCTTCTTGACCAGATGTCCTCCCCAAGGTCCATTCCCCCACTTGAGGATTATTAGATTCTAACACAGGAATTTTGAGTATGTGTACACACTCAGTCTCTATTAGATAATGCAACAATTTGCTTTATAAAGCATGTTGACTGCTGTGGGGGAAAGAGCAGGCTTCCTGTGGAGGAGCAGAATCCTTAATATTGGGGAGTGGTCAAGAACAGCTTAGTCAAGGAGGCCCAGGGTGAGCTATGAGCTGGAGGGAGTACCAGGGAAGTACCTGGAATGGGACACACATTTCAGGAGGAAGGACCAACATGTACAAGTTCCCTTCTGTTACAGGAGGCCTGGTCACAGCTATCATTTCCTCTTGTTTAAACCTGAATCTTTACTCAGGGGATAATGAAGATTCATTATTTGTAAACCCCAAGAGCAGAGCCTTTATGCTTGACATATAGTGGGTACCTAGATCAGTAGGGATTTTAAACAAGCTCCCGGATCCCCAAGACAATGCCACTCTGAGTTGGCTTCTGAATCCTAAAGGCTGTGATTTCCCCAAAGTATTGCAGCCTGTGAGCTCTTGCCCTTCTTGCCCCTGGCCATGTGCACAGGTTCCAGAAGACCGAGCTGATACTCTCCTGCTACCACTGGCAGACCTACCACACGGAGGATGTCCTGAGCATGGCCAAGTATCAGAACCAGTTCCTTGGGACCGCTGCCTACAATGGGGACATCCTCTTCTGGAATGTCAGCATGTTGAAGCCCATCTTGAGTTTCAATGCCTCCGAGAGCCCCTTGCCTTTACCGCCGAAGAAGGTATAGCGCCCCGTGCTTTCCCAGTTTCCCAGGTAGCTTTCACTCCAATCCTTTCATTTCTGTCTGGGCTATGGGCCAGAATAAGGGAGGGCAGAGAGAGCATCTTGGGAGCAGAGGGAGAGATGGAGACATACTGGGGTGTGTGTGGGGTGGCTGGTAGCTAGGATAGTAGATAGTAGGTAGCTCCTTTGAACATCTCCATGTGACAGAAAACAGAGGCACGAGGAGGCTAGTCACCTTTCTCAGGGTACAGAGGCACTAAGAGGTCAGCCACCTTTCTCAAGGTCTACCACCAAGAAGGGGTGGATCTAGACCATGACAGTTGACTCTAGGGCCTGGGGTGCTAGGTTGTATTTTTCAGTCCTTTTCAACAGATTACTTCCTCCTGAAGACAGCCCACCATTACCTCTTCGCTGCAGTAACAAAACACCCGGCAGAAGCAGCCTAAAAGGGCTCACAGTTTCAGATTCCAAGTCTGCCATGGCAGGAGGGCCAGGTCAGCTGGAGTAGCTCACATCTGGGCCACTAGGAAGCAGAGACAGGGGTACCAGAGAAATGGTCTTCCTCTTTTGTTCCAGCTGGGCCCACATTCAGGGTGGATCTTCCCCCTTTGTTTTCTCCTTGAGAACACCTTCACAGATGCACCCAGATACGGTTTTACTCTTCTAGGCCCTTCCCAGTCCTATCAGGTTGGCAGTAGGTCCTGCCCACATCTTCCCCACTTGGGCAATGGTGTCATACAACACGCTCCAGGCTCATGAGAGAGGTGTAAACAAGCAGTCTCTAAATTGCTACACTGTGGCAACCTAAAGCTGGACTGGTGCTAGAGGTCACCTCCTCCAGCGGATAGAGGTCACCTCCTTGCCAGTGTGCTGATGGGTAGGTACTACATCCTCCAAGACAGCTCAGAGTTTTATCTAGTTTGTACTTGGCTTTGTGTGACTAAGTCAATATTTGGAAACCACTGTCCATTTTTATACATGGGGAAACCCAGTTCCTCTCAGGAGCTGTGTCCTGCCTAGGGTATTATCAGTAGGTCCAGGGGTGGGTTTATAAGCCTTGGTCTGAGACCTGTCAAGGCCCGAAGTTTCTAGGAAGTAATGCTATGCTGTGTTTCCTAGAGGGCCAGTGACGTTGGCACTGGGCTGAGGAGATCCTGAGCTTCCCACTTGTGGGGGAGTTTCTGAAGCTGCCCTCTCTCCTCTCTCTCGGCACAGGTAAAGGATGCAGAGGAGTGCATGGACGACACCCAAATCTCCCCAGTCAGTAAGGAGCAAAAGTGGGCACACAAGCCTCTCACAAAGTTCACTGGCTTTACTGCGAGGCGGAGATTGATGTCAGCTCCTCCAGTGATGAAACGGAGAGACACGGACCAAGAGAAACGTCAGAGAGACATGGACCAAGAGAAGAATATGTCTCAGCAGGTGGGAGTGAGGCCATCCCTCCTGCTCCAATTGTCCAGCTCACATGTTCTGAGCATGTTGTGTGTGTGTGTGTGTGTGTGTGTGTGTGTGTAGGAGGGCAGGGGACAGGGTCCATTTTTAGACAGGGTTTCTCTGTGTAACAGTCCTGGCTGTCCTAGAACTCGCTTTGTAGACCAGGATGGCCTCAAACTCAGAGATCTGCCTTCCTCTGCATCCCAAGTGCTGGGTTTAAAGGTGTGCACTGCACCACCCACTGCCTTTCTATTCTGATCATGCTGTAGCTAACAAACTCTGCTCACTCAAGCCTGGGAATCATTTTTACCTAGTGCATCTCCAGACCTGGTCTGAGAGCCGAAAGTTTATGAATAGAACCTATAGGGAGCAGGATTCTAAAAGCCTAAATTGGATGTTAGAACATGGTCTATGGCTTCAGTTCTTAAAGATGGAGTCTCTTGGCCCCAGCCCTGGCCCTGGCCCTGACCCAGGAGTGAGCTGTTCAGGGCACCAAGTGCCACCTCTCCAAAGCCTGAGCCACAATGCAAAAGGGGAAGATGCAGTAAGATGGACTTTAACTCCAGGCCCTGAAGACTCAGGATTGATTTGACAGCTCTGGTTTGTAGGGTGTGGGAAGGGAGCAAGGTCTGAAGGAGGGTAATTGACCTTGGTCTTGTAGGAGGGATGATAGTGCTCCAACACTGTGTACAGGAGATTGCAGAGGGGTGAGGAAACAATCCGGTTGCTCCTGCAGCCCAGTTCTGATTTCTGAGACCTGAGGCTTGAATGAGAGTCATTAGCTTCCCAATTCCCAGGTGTGGGGGCAGCACTGGGCAGCTCCAGTCCCACGCCCAGGCATGGGGTACTGTAGGTCAGCTCCAGTAGGGTCTGCCAAGATCATGTTCTGCTGTGAGAGAGAGCCCTGTGAGGTACACTGCGCTGTGAGGTGCTCACAATCATGGTACCGTGAGGTTCAGGCACTTTGGGGTGCTATAAGATGAGCCTACTTTACTGTCAGACATGGGCCATCTTTGGCTGAGCAGTTTAGGCCTCTGCACTCATATCTTGAGAAGAATGGGTGTTAGACCCCTTTAGCCTCACAGGACAAAGGAAGGATCGACCCTGAAGGTGACTCAAGTCTCTGTCCTACAGAGCAAAATTGCTGGTTTCTTAAAATAGAAACCTCTCAGTCTCAGAGTATCCTAAGGTCCAAGTAGGTACCCCACTGGTCTTTTTCAGGGTGAGGCCCCATGACTGCTCTTTTTCTCCGTGGTCTGTAGGAGGGTTCAGGAGGCAATGTTTTACTTTCAGACATCTTCCAGAGCTCAGAAGTCCAAGCTGTCTAACATGCTCCGCAATAAACCATCGGTTCACAAACCTCTTCACAGCGACTCTGAAAAGGAAAAGGAGGAGTTCTGGAAGAAGAGACTGCTGCATCAGAACGTGTCAGTGGAGAAGGTGAGCTGTGTTCCGTGGGGGAGTGGGAGCTGGGCTGGGCAGGGGTGGGTGTGTCTTGGACCTGGTGGATTTGGAATTCCAGAGCCATCTGCTAGTGTTTGAGCAGGGGTGGGACTGTGAGAGAAGTGTTTTTTTTTTTTTTTTTTTCTAGAACACACTGTTGGAAGTCTCTCTCTTTGGCTGGGATGGTGTTTTGTAGTGTGTAACAGGTTTTCTTTTTCGGGCCACCAACCAGTTCCAAATAATGACATGGAGACTTCTTGTTACTTATAAATGCTCATCCTAGCTTAGACGCGTTTCTGGTATCTTTAACTTAAATTAACCTGTTTCTCTTTATTTACCTTTTGCCTCAGGGATTTTTACCTTTCTTTCTTTCTTTCTTTCTTTCTTTCTTTCTTTCTTTCTTTCTTTTTCTTTTCTTTCTGTATGTCTTACTTTTCTCCTACTTATTCTCTCTGCCAATCAGCCCTGCCTGTCCTTTCTCTGCCTAGCTATTGGCCATTCAACTCTTCATTAGACTAATCAGGTGCCTTAGTCAGGGAAGGTGAAACAGCAACACATCTTGACATAATTAAAGAAAAGTAGCATACACAAACGTAACACATCTTTACATCATTAACAAAGGCAGCAGAAACAAACGTAACAAACCCTTACATAGTTAAAGTAATATTCCACCACATAAACAAATGTAACACATCTGCACATAGTTAATTATTCCACAACAGTGGTGGGGTGCAAGTTGAGTTGGTTCATCTGTACTCATTTCTTCCTACTGTCCCCTTTCTGGTATGGACCCCTCACTATGATCAACATCCTAACTGTGATGTGTAGGCTGAAATAAACCGCCCCCCCCCAAGTTGCTTTTGACTGTAGTGTTTTATCACAGCAACAGAGATTCTAACTCAGACACCTGTATACCTGGCTGATACAGAACTCACAAGCTGAGGATGACCCTGAACTTCAGATCCCCTTGCTTCTACCTCTTAAGTGCTGGGATTAAAGGTGTTTCCACCATTTGGCTTCCTCAGTGCTGAGGAATGAACCCAGGGTTTCAGGCATGCTTGGTAGGTACTTTGCCAACTGAACTATATCCCCAGCCCTAGATCATTAACCTTTTAAAAATTTAATATTATTTAATTTTTATTTCTGTGTATATGCTTGTCTGCATGTTTATATGTGCACATGCATCCAGGTGCCCAGAGGCTAGATGAATGCCCTGCAGCACGGGGAATAGCCCCAAGAACTGATAAATGGGATTACATAAAATTAAAAAGCTCCTGCATAGCAAAGAAGCTATCAGTAGAGCATAAATACAGTCAAAAGACTGGCCTGCAACTTGCTATGTAGACCAGTCTGACCTTAAACTCATCCACCTTTGTCTGTTTGCTGAGTGCTGGGTTGTACACACCATGCCCAGCCTTTCTCTTGATATTGATTGGCATGTTTATTCCACTATGATCTGATATGAAAAGTAAATGAGTGTTTTTGGTCTTGGTTAAGACTTGCTTTATGTCTTAAAATGTGATCTACAGCAGCTGGGTGGAATATATTTTAGGTTCCTGCTATGGTTTAGATTAACTCTGAAGTTTCTTTGTTGATTTTTTTTGTTTACTCTATGTCTTGATGAGAGCTTTGATTATATCTAGACCTGTCTGCCTCTTACATTAGTATTTGTTTTATGGAAATTAGGTGTCTCAGTGTTTGTTGCTATATATTTGTAATTATATTTTCTTGGTAGTCTATCCCATTTAATAGTAATATAAAGTGAGCTTTTTGTCTCTTCTAACTGGTTTTGTATTGAAAACCGCCTTTTCAGATAGGAGTCTAGTATTCTTGTATGTGCTGGGCTTCTATTTGCTTGACATCTTGATTTCCATCTTGTCTTAGTTAAGAGAGCCCACTGAAGCCAGGTGTGGCAGCAGATGCTCTCAGGAGACAGAGGCTGCTTGTTCGTCTCCTCTGCCCAGAACTGAAATAATCATACAGAAACTATATTAATTAAAACATTGCTTGGTCCATTAACTCTAACTTCTTGTTGGCGAATTTTTACATCTTAATTTAACCCATTTCTATTAATCTGTGTATCACCATGTGGCAGTGGCTTACCAGGCAAAATTTCCAGTGTCTGTCTCCAGCGGATCCATGGTTTCTCTCTTACTCTGCCCTTCTTTCTCCCAGCATTCAGTTCCATCTCCCCACCTACCTAAGTTCTGCCCTATCATCAGGCTCAAAGCAGTTTCTTTATTAACCAATAAAAGCAACACAAAGACAGAAGGACCTCCTACACCAGAGGCAGGCTTATCTCTATGAGTTTGAGGTTACCCTGGTCTACTTAGTGAGTTCCAAGCCAGCCAGAAGTACACAGGGAAATGTCTCAGAAGAAAAAGGAGAGATAAACCATTGGGTTGAACTGTGGTTGCTTGCAAGTCCATGAGTGTGAGGTTATTTACTGGCCAGCTCCAAAATTCTTGAGTATCCTGTTTGTTTAGGAAGTCCTAAACAAGATGTTCAACCCTCATCCTGTTGATCCAGGTGTCAGGATGAAAAGAAACAGGAATTCTTTAGACCCTGAATCTGAGGGCAATGGTCAGTTCTACTCAGCATTTAAGGAACTACAATACCAGTCCTTCTCAAGCCTCATAGAAGAAGAGGATGAGAATGAGAAAGAAGAGGAGAAGGAGGGAGAAGAGTGATCACCAGAGGCACAGCCCTAACTATGCCTATCAGAAGAAAAGCTGGATAGACAAGGTAAGAATACAACACCACAAAGAGCAACATGACACCAACAAAAACTAGTGACTCTACAACAGAAAGACTTGAATGCCCCAATACAGATAAAGCAGAAGAAAATGACATTAAAAATAACTTTAGGAGAATGTTTGAGGCCCTTAAAGAGGAAATGAAAAATTCTCTCAAAGAAATGGAGGAAAAGGCAAAAAATTGTAAAAAAATCAACAAATCTCTAAGAAAAAGCAACCAAAGAGGTGAAAGAAACATTTAAGACTTGAAAACTGAAATAGAGGCAATAAAGAAAACACAAACTGAGGAAGTTCTAGAAATGGAAAGTGATCAGGAACCACAAATGCAAGCATAAACAGCAGAATATAAGAGATTGAAGAGAGAACCTCAAGCGTTGAAGATAAGATAGAGGAAATAGACTCAGTGGTCAAAGATACAGACAATAGATGGTTTCACAGAAGCAAATCCCAAAGAAGGGAACAACACACACACTAACATTACCAAGGATGAAAACTAAAATAACAGAAACTAGCAGTCACTGGTCACTAATATCCCTTAATACAAACGAACTCAACTCACCTATAAAAAAGACACAGACTAACAGATTGTGTTGAAATAGGAGCTGCGGCGGGGTTGCGTCCCAAACACCCCGGCCGCTTGGCTAGCTCATGCCCTAAATAACAACACACAAACTGTGTTCATTTAAGAACTGCTTGGCCCATGAACTCTAGCCCTTACAGGCTAATTCTCGCACCTGGACTAGCCCATTTCTAATGATGTGTGTAAGCACCCCAAGGTGCGCTTACCGGGAAGATTCTAGCCTCCGTCCATCATGGTGTCTCAGCTCCAGAGAGCAGAGTTGTCTGGTCTGTCCGGGAGCAGAGCAGAGTCTGACCTCACTTCCTCTTCCACCCAGCATCCTCTCCTGTTTATTCCGCCCACCTATCTTTTAACCTATCAGGGCCAGCAGTTTCTTTATTGCTCAGCCAATGAAATCAACAGATTGATATATGACACTCCCACATCAAGATTGGATACAAAAACAGAATCCATCCTTCTGCTGCATACAAGAAACACACCTCAGCCTCAAAGACAGACATCACCTCAGAGTAAAGGGTTAATCAAATTAACCTAAGAAACAAAATAGACTTCAAACTAAAATCAATCAAAAGAGACAAAGAAGGACATTTTATATTAGTCACAGGAAAAATCCAGCAAGAAGAAATCTCAATACTGAACATCTATGCCCCAAATATATGGAGCACCCTCATATGTAAAAGAAACACTTCTAAAGCTTAAATCATACATTAAACTCCACACACTAAGAGTGGGAAACTTCAACACTCCATTCTCACCACTGGACAGGTCTGCCAGACAGAAACTTAACAGAGAAATAAAGGAACTAACAGATGTTATGACTCAAATGGACTTAACAGACATCTATAGAACATTTCACCCAAACATAAAAGAATATATCTTCTTCTCAGCACTTCATGAAATCTTCTTAAAAATTGACCACATATTAGGTAATAAAGCAAACTTCGACAGATAAAAAAATTGGAATAACCCACATATCTTATCGATAAAGCAGAGTAAGAGATACTCCATGGATCTGTGAGAGACAGATGCTGGGAATTTTACCTGGTAAGCCACTGCCATGTGGCAATACACAGATTAATAAAAATGGGTTAAATTAAAATGTAAGAATTAGCCAATAAGAAACTAGAGCGAATGGGACAAGTAGTGATTTAATTAATACAGTTGCTGTGTGGCTCTTTTGGGGCTCTTTTGGGGGCTGGGTGGCCAGGACAAACAAGTGGGCCCCTCCTTGCAACATTATCAGATCACCATGGCTTAAAATTAGAATTCAACAGCAACACTAATTTCAGAAAGCCCATAATCACATGTGCTCACCTGAATCACCATTGAGTCATGAAAGAAGTAAAGAAAGAAATTAAAGACTTCCTAAAACTCAATGAAAAGGACCACACAACATACCTGAATTTATGGGATACAATAAAAGCAGTGTTAAGAGGAAAGTTCATAGCACTCAAGGCCTACATAAAGTAGCTGGAAAAATTCCACACTAGTGAGTTAACAGAACATCTGAAAACTCTAAAACAAAAAGAAGCAAACTCACCCAGGAGGACTAGATGGCAGGAAAAAATGAAATTGAGAGCTGAAATCTACAACACAGAAACAAAGAAAACAATACAAAGAATGAGACAAAGAGTTGGTTCTTCAAGAAAATCAGCAAAATAGACAAACCTTTATTAAAACTAACTAAAAGGCAGAGGGAGAGAATTTCCAAATTAACAAAATCAGAAATGAAAAGGGGCATAACAACAGACATGGAGAAAATCCAGAGAATCATCAGGTCATACTTTGAAAATCTGTACTTCACAAAATTGGAAAACTTAAAGGAAATCAATAATTTTCTGGGTAAATATCACTTACCAAAATTAAATCAAGATCAGATAAGCAAGTTAAATAGACCTATAACTGCTAAAGAAATAGAAAGTCATCAAAAGTCTCCCAACCAAAGAAAGCCTAGGATTAGATGGTTTCAGTGCAGAATTCTACAAGATTTTCAAAGAAGAACTATTACCAATACTCCTCAAATTATTCCACACAATAGAAACAGAAGGAACATTGCCAAACTCTTTTTACAAGGCTACAATTACCCTGATATCCAAACCATACAAAGATACTACCATGAAAGAGAATTACAGACCAATCTTACTCATGAGCATTGATGCAAAATAATCAATAAAATACTGGCAAACAGAATCCAAGAACACATTAGAAAAATCTTCCACCACCATGACTAACTAAGTAGGCTTCATCCCAGAGATGCAGGGATATTTTTCAACATATGAAAAATCTGTCAATGTAATCCACTATATAAACAAACTGAAAAAAAAACCTGCATAATTATCTCATTAGATGCTGAAAAAGCCTTCAACAAAATACAACATTCCTTCATGATAAAGGTCTTTGAGAGAGCAGGGATACAAGGAACATACCTAAATATAATAAAGACAATATATAGTAAGTCAACAGCCAACATCAAACTAAATGGAGAGAAACTCACAGCGATTCTACTGAAATCAGGAACAAGACAAGGTTGTTCACTTTTCCATACCTATTTAATATAGTACTTGAAGTTCTAGCTAGAGCAATAAGACAACAAAGGGAGATCAAGGAGATACAAATCAGAAAAGAAAAAAGTCAAACTCTTACTATTTGCTTATAATATGATAGTTTACAAAAGTGACCCCAAAAATTCTACCAAGAAACTTCTACAACTCATAAACACCTTCAGCAATGTAGCGGGATACAATAACAAAAAAAATCAGTAGCTCTCCTTTATACAGATGATAAACGGGCTGAGAAAGAAATCAGAGAAACATCACCCTTCACAATAGCAACAAACAACACAAATAAAATATGTAGCCACAAATAAAATATCTTGGAGTAAATCTAATAAAACAAGCCTTTGAGAAATAAACGGAAGAAGACACCAGAAAATGGAAAAATCTCCGGTGCTCTTGGGTAGGTAGAATTAACATGGTAAAAATGGCCAGCTTATCAAAAGCAATCTACAGATTCAATGCAGTACCCATCAAAATCCCAGCAAAATTCTTCACAGACCTTGAAAGAACAATAATCAACTTCATATGAAAAAGCAAAAAAACCCAGGATAGCTAAAACAATTCTGTACAATAAAGGAACTTCTGGAGGCATCACAACCCCTAACTTCAAACTCTACTACAGAGCTACAGTACTGAAAACAGACTGGCATTGGCATAAACACACACAGGAGGACCAATGGATACCAGTCTACACACCTATGAGCACCTGATTTTTTAAAAAGAAACAAAACATATAAAATGGGAGAAAAGAGCATATTCAACAAAGGGTGCAGTCATAACTGGATATCAACATGTAGAAGAATGAAAATAGATCCATATCTATCATCATGCACAAAACTCAAGTCCAAATGGATCAAAAAGACCTTAACATAAATCCAAACACACTGAACCTTATAGAAGAGAAAATGGGGAGTACACTTGAATACATTGGCATGAGACCATTTCTTAAATATAACCCCAGTAGCACAGACACTGAGAGAAACAATTATTAAATGGGACCTCCTGAAATTGAGAAGCTTCTGTAAAGCAAAGGACACAATCAGCAAGACAAAACAGTAGCCTACAGAATGGGAAAAGATCTTTACCAACCCCACATCAGACAGAGGTCTGATCTCCGAAATATACAAAGAACTCAAGAAACTTGACATCAAAAGAACAAAAATCCAATAAGAAAAATGGAGTACCAACCTAAACAGAGAACTCTCAACAGATTAATCTAATATGGCTGAAAGACACTTAAGGAAATGCTCAACATCCTTAACCATCAGAGAAATGCAAATCAAAACAACCCTGAGATTCCATCTTACACCTGTAAGAATGGCCAAGATAAAAACACAGATGACAGCTTATGTTGGAGAGAATGTGGGGTAAAGGAAATACTCCTCCATTGCTGGTGGGAATACAAACTGGTACAGCTGTTTTGAAAATCAGTATGACAATTTCTCAGATAATTAGAAAACAACCTACCTCAAGACCCAGCAATGCTGCTGTTGGGTATATACCTAAAGGATGCTCAATCATACCACAAGGACATGTGCTCAACTAGCAGCTTTATTTTTAATAGCTGTAACCTGGAAACAACCTACATGCCCCTCTACCAAAGAATGGATAAAGAAAATGTGGTACATTTACATAATGGAGTACTACACAGTGGAAAAAAATAATGACATTTTGAAATTTTCAGGCAACTGGACGGATCTAGAAACATCAAACTGAGTGAGGTAACCTAGACCCAGAAAGACAAATATATGTTTGCACTCACAAGTTGGTTTTAGACATAAAGCAAAGAAATACCAGCCTACAATTCACAATCTCAGAGAACCTAGACAACAATAAGGACTCTAAGAGAGACATGCATGGATCTAATCTACATGGGAAATAGAAAAAGACAAGATCTGAGTGAATTAGAAGTGTGGGGACCATGGGAGAGAGTAGGTGGGGAGGGGGAGGGGAAGGGGAGCAGAGAAAAATAAATAGCTCAATAAAAACAATAAAAAAGTAACAGGGTCCTGCTGGAGGAGGTTGTTTCTAGCTATTGAGGACAAAAAAAGAAAAAGACTGTATGAAGCTTGTAAAAAGGAAATATATATATATATATATATATAAACTGTGAATTGCTGTTCAAGGAAATTATTGATTACTTGTCCTCTATTGTGGGTAATTAAAGATCAGAGTTTTCAAGCATAACGTCAGGAAAATCTAAAGTGGAAATTCCATCTCTACTCTAATAAAATAGTTTTCCTATAAAAAATACAAAAGTAGGAGGGAGGCTTGTTCGGAAGTAGAAGGAGTCCAGAAGGAGTGGGAGGAGCATAAGAGAGAGGAATTGGGATGTGTATGAATGTGATCAAAATACACTATATTTATGTATGGAATTGTCAAAGAATAAATAAACCATTTTTTCATAAAAAGGCCAGCTCAGAATAATAATTACTATTACCTTCTTTTTAGAAGTTAATTCTTTCTCTCCTTCCTTCCTTCCTTCCTTCCTTCCTTCCTTCCTTCCTTCCTTCCTTCCTTCCTTCCTTCCTTCCTTCCTTTTCTTTCTTGGAGATAGGGTCTCACTATATAGCTCTGACTGTCCTGAATCATTCTGTAGACCAGGCTGACTTAATACTCATGGAGGTCTGCCTGTCTCTGCCTCCCAAGTGCTGGGATTAAAGGGGTGCGCCACCATGCCCAGCTAGAAACTTATTCTTAGCTAAGTTTCTCCTTAGATGACTTGATAAAGTTCCCACTATAGTAAGAAGGTATTGCTAGTTTCTGAGGTAAGACAAAAAGTTGAAGGTGCTGAGCTGGTGAGACGACTCCATGGTTAAAGTGCTTGTCCTCTGACTTTCACACAGACTCTTCGCTGTGACTACAGCTGAGAGAATGAGTTATTTCTCCATGACACACTGAGAGAGTAATAGGGCTTGGAAAACTTGATGAGTGAGGCAAACTCATGTATCTTCTTTCATTTAGCATTTGCTGGTCCTATACTGTGAAATCAGGAGTCCCTTAGGTACTGAGGGCAGTGATTAACAGCATCAAAAAGATACCATTCCCTGCCTTCAAATAACTCACAGACTAGTATGCTGTCCCTCAATTCCTCAGGAAGAAAGGAGAACGTTAGGAGACGGGGGGGGGGGGGCACTAGTTGGGTGTAGTTGTTTGTCTAAGTCATGTATAATGTGTAACAGTGGCCACTGTTGAGCCAGGCCCACTCTCTTGTGCAGATCATTTTTCTGCAGACCAGACCTCGTCTGCAACACACAGCTGCCATGCTGAGCAGCTGCATTGATGGCTTCATCTACGCCTGGTCCATCCACGGGAATGGAGGTCTTCTGGGGAAGTTCCCTGTGGACATTGAAGCGAATGGGGATATTGTTGTGGGTGCCATGGCCACCGATGAAAACGACTGGATCCTCATCACAGGGGACAGTGTAGGAATGATCAAGGTGAGGAAGGACTGGAGCCAGGTCAGCCTTTGACCATTTCTGTGCTGCATGTGGCCCTTGTCTGCCTCCTACTCCTGTTTGGTACTGATGTCACTGGAGAAGGTAGTGGGAGCAAGGTAAGTTACTTAGGAGTCTGCTGGGGGTCTCTTTAAGCTGCCCCCGCCAGTGGACCCTGCTATCCATCACTGTTGCCCCATAGTTTCCGCACCTGCCAGCCATGTGTCTCATCCGTGAGCAACTGTCTCATAGTTGATTTTGTGCTCTTTGGTGAGACATGAGGCATGAGTGCCTTGTCCATCTAAGTCACTCAAAACCTCTCTGCCTGCTAATTAAGGGGTCTGGTTTAGAAGACCCTATGCCCCCTCTGTAGTGAGTAAATATTTACCTCAGAGGTGTAAGAACAAGCCACTCCCAAAGCTCAGAGCAGAGCAGCGTGGAGGAACCCACAGCATGCTCTGCAGTGGTCGGGGTCAGGGCCACTGACTCCCACTCTGTGCCTAGATCTGGGACATCAAGGAGTACTGCTTATTTGTTGGCCAGAGACCACTCCAACCCAGCGGGGTCAAGATCTCCACTGAAGCGGAGAATAAGTTCCGATTCTTAATTCCTAAACAACTCCAGGCCCGCTCCCTGCACTACATCCCAGAGAAAGAGAAGGAGGTAGGTAGATGGTGGGGGGTTGCTTGGGAAAGTTCCACTAAGGAGCCAGGACTGTGGTTTTCAGTGAACATTATGAGTCTTCATGCTCCCTTCATGATGTCTGGCCTATGTGGAAAAACCTGTTAGTCAGAGGTCATCATTACCACAGGTGACAAGGGCCAAGTATGCCCACAGGTATTCATCACACATGCACACAGATACACATTCACCATCCCATCCCCATGCATGTTGATCTTTGCAGTAGGACCCTAGTGTCCTGAGTTTAAAATTGAAATATTATACACTCTCTCAAGTAGTCAATACTTTTACATGGTTCAAAGTAATTGGTGTTGGCCCCAGGGCCTCATGAAATCAAGCATCTTTTCTTTAGTTACCAAGAAAAAAATAAATGGAAGCGGTGGAGTGACGTCACTACATCTCACGAGGATGACTGAAGTCAAAAAGGCACAAGCAGAGTCTGCAGAGATGCAGACCAGGTGAAATAGCCACCTTGGGCAAGCGTTGGCGATTAGTATATTTACTTTGGGGGATTATTTGACAATAGCTACCTAACCTGAGCATGTCTGCCCTTCCACCCGGCAGTTCCACTGTAGGCTTATACCCAGAAGTTCGTGTAAAACATGGGAAGAAGGTTGAGAGAATTCCTATGGATAATGGCTCCACACTGGAAATACCCACACACTCATCAGTCTTGGTTGGACCCACAATGTAGACTCAAAAAAATCTAATCAGTGACTCTTCAGAAAATTAAGCCAAGTCAGGCCCTAAAGCATGTACATTGTATGTGTTTGTTCTGTTTCTATGGAGCATAACTGTAGAAAAACTGAGCCTGCCTATCAGAAGTGATAATTCTTGTTGGGGTGGGGAGCAGCTGGAAGAACTCTTGAGGGTGTCAGGCTGACAGTATTACACCTCATTATGTGGGTCTGATTATACATTTGTGTTTAATTTGTGTATTTATGTTAAAATACATTCGTTATGCATATGACTTTTTATGTGTTCATTATACATATATGAAAGTTTTACAAGTGCCCAGGCAATGTAGAGAGGCCCTGGTCCTGTGTGAAGCACAATTCTTCCCTGAAGTGGCCACTGTTAGGGATTTCTGGCTATTCTGGTACTGATTTACATGAGTGTGCATGTGGACAGCATATGAGCAACCAGCATGCAATGCAGACCTGTAATCCCAGAACCTAGGTTTAGGCAGGAGGATGGTGACTTTGAGGCCAGTTTGAGATACATAGCTAGACTGCATCTCAAAATACTTATGTTTGCAAGATGGATAACAAAATTGCAAATATATGGAACCCTTTGACCTAGTTCTCCTCTTCTGGAAATGTACCTTTCAGACATGCTAACACACATGTGAAATAGCACTCGCTAGTAGGATTCACTTTTAAGAATAAAACACAGCAATTCTCCCCTTGAGAGGATTGTATTAATAGCATAGCCTGTGGCTTACTATTCAGCTCTAGAAAGATTCCTAAGATGCATTATGGAGTGAGGAACACAAGGGAAGTCCTGCCACATCTTCAGTACCAGAGGGATGCTGAGGCACAGATGCCTTTGCTGGTGTATTCCACTGAATACTGAAAACACTAATGACAGGTCTGCACAACTCTTCCAAGAGTTTTCTGTGAGGCCAGGGTTACTTTGATAGTAACTTTTATGCCTGCCAGCGCAGGCCTTATGAGACCGTCTCAAAAAACTAAAAACCAAAACCAGAAACCAACCAACCAAACCAAACAATGCCCCCAAATCAAAGCAAACAAAAAAAAAAAATCAAGCCTCTTAGTGTGTATTTTAGTTTCAGATGTGATAATGGTTAGTTTTCTTTTGACAGCCCACTGTGTTTGTGCTTGAACCACTCTTTCTGATACTATTCTCATACCCAAGGGGTTCCTACATGCTTAGCATGGCTTCTGTGCTCACTGATATCTTTCACTCTTGGGTTATGGTTTGCAGTAGTCTGACTTACTATGCCTGACTATAGCATATAGAATAAACGTTCCTTCCTCAGTATTGTTGGATTTAAAAATGGTTGGGGCTGGGGAGACGGCTCAATAGATGTAGCACTTGCTGCTCGAGTGTGGGGACTGGGGTTTGAATCCCAGAACCCATCTAACAGCTGAACAGGCATGGCATGGGTCAGAGACGGGGGATCCCTGAGCAAGATGGCTAGCTAGACCAGCTGGAATGGGCGAACTCTGGGTTCAACAAGAGATCCTGAGAGATGAAGGAGGATACCCGAGGTCAACTTCATGCCTCCACCTGTATCATATACATGCATGTGAACATGTACACATGTGGGCCGAACACAGGCAAACATGAATATACATATGCACCCCCTTTCTTACAAACACACACACTCACACACATACACACATACCTATAGAGAGTTATTTTCTCTCACGTTTTTCCGTTTTTCCTAGTGTGATGTCCCCTGTGTCACCAGCCACCCCATGCGGTCTGTCCTAGTGCTCAGTTGAGAAGAATTAGAAGATGTGTGGGCTTATATTCTTGTCCCATCACTTTCCAGCTCTCTGGCTTCAGGCTGATTTCTGAATTTCTTTGATTCCCTCTTCTCAGTAAAGTGGTGAACATGTTCTATGGCATATAATGTTGTGGGTTCCAATGAGACAGTCTGTGAGGCTCTAACAAAGGGGCTCTTGAAGCCAGAGAAGTGCTGAGACCTACCAAAGGTCAGCAGCAGCCAGTTAATGTGAAGTGCCCAGAGGTGGTTCATTAGCTGGTGTCCAGGTGCTCTTCCCTGGGCTCTGCTCCTCTGGGCCCTAGGTAAGTGCTAGGGTGCTGTCTTTGTGAGAGGATGATGTGAGTCACCCTCTACTGCCCCCTACAGGTTGTGGATGGCCAGACCATTTCTCTGGTTCCCCCACCCCTTCTGATTACCTGGAGTAGCCACCTGGAGAGCGTGACCGATATCCTGTACGTGGACATCTTCCAGCTGGTTGTCAGTGCTGGCTTGGACGGGGACGTCAAGGTCTGGAAACTCTCTGGTGATGCCATAGGTATGGGTGCCGCCAAAGCATGGCCTCTCCTGTCCTTGTCCCTGACAGAACACACCCTGGCCTATGCCCCGTGGGGAGAAGGGCCTTACAGCTGCTCAGAGAATATTGCGAGATGTGAATCTGTCCTGTTGTCCACTCATCCGTCAGCTTTCTTTCCAGGCTTTCACTCACCCACCCAGCTTTGCTTGTCTTGGTGAGTTTTAGAAAAGTGTGTAACTGGTAAGTTCTGTTCTTTTCTCTTAAGAAAAGAAGCACAATGAAGAAAAGCTCGGGAACTCAAAGTGTTCCACCTTTAATTCCTAGAGTGTATGTACTTCTGTCTGTCTGTATAGCCCACATTGGGAAGCAGACACCCAAGAGTCTCTTCCGACCCCTGCCTTTGCTGTTGCTGTGTGTGTTTTACTGAAAAGGGGCACTTAAAAGAAATCCCACACTAGCTCAGAATGGAGAATAATAGTTGGTTATTTATTAGGGGTAGGACTCACAAATCAATATCCTCTGCTGGAACGGAGAACAGCAACTGAATCCTCCAGCCAGAAAAGAGACTGGGCAAACACTTTACACTGCAGAAATAGTGTAAGAGGCCACACCCCAGTGGGCGGGTAACTTAAAGGCTGCTGGCTATAGGATTTCCTACAGCATCTTACAATTTTTTACTTTTTTGGGAGAGGCACATGCCATGGAATGCATGCTGAGGTCAGAGGTCAACTGTGGGAGGGGGGTTTTCTCCTGTTCTGTCCCTGAAGTGGAACTCAGATGGCCAGGCTTGGTGGAAAGTGCCTTCACCCACTGAGCCAGC